ATCCAGAGCTTTGGTTTCAAATGCATGAAGTCTGCCTTTGGACACTTCCCCAAATTCGTGTTCATGGCATCTTTGCTGAATTATGTTACATAGTTATCATGAAGATTTTGTCAAGGACAAGGATTACGTGATGGATGTCGTGTGTGTTGGAATCTCAAAGGTATGTTTCAAACTTTCAAAGTTGAGATTGCTCCATAGTAATTAGTCCATTTTACGATTGATTTGCTATGACTTGTCCCATTCCCAACACTTTTTGTCAATACAAAACGCAGAAAATATCTCGGAATTCAATGAACAGAAAACTGACATAGAATCTTTTATGACCCCACAAGGGTAATGTATCATGGTCTTCTATGGTGACCACTGCTATCAAAACTACATGCAAATTTATTTTGGTCTGCAGTAAAAAGAACCAATGATGTGGGGTGACATAGTAACAAAAGCTCGTTAACGCAAAAGAGTCGCAGCAATATCCACATTGCAACTTTCAAAGGTCCTCAAGAGCAGCTCCTGATCCAATCCTGACCTGTAAAGTTTGATGTGCCAAGGCAAACAGTCTCACATGGTAAACAACAAAAAAGCAAATTCACTACTCTACTAACAGTAGGCGACCCTAACATCCTCAAAAGGTGATCAAACGTCATTCTTCTCAAAGAGTATTTAACTGTTTAAACACATAATCAACACAACCAGCTGGCCAGTAGAGCAAGGCATTCCTAAAAGCTCAAAAACATAGAGATAAGTCAATAAAATGCACAACGAATGCTAATCACATTGTCAACTTTATGAGGCACCCGGTGAACGGTTGGTGGCATTCAGCTTTGACCCGATTTCGTACGCAGGGTCCAGCAACCTGGTGATTTCTCCAACAGATGTATTACTCGGTACACAGGGCATCGTTAAGGCGAGCAATAAAAAAAGTTCAAAAAGGTGAATTGCAACAAAAAAAAAAATAACCAAGCATCACAGCCGAAATAGCCCAAAATGTGCGCGTAACTTAAATTTTACAAAGAGGCCAGATTACCTAAAATATCATTACGCTACTAATTTGCTGGATGAATCATCACTCATCTACAATACAACCAACGCAAGTGGACAGTAAACGATCGTCATCTAACCAAAGAAGCTTAAATCTTTCACAAAAAGAATGAAACACATTCACCAGGACTGAAACTAAAAAGACTGCCCCATACCAGGTCAGTCGCAGATTAAGACTAATAAACTGGCTAGTAAAAATCCGTAACTCAGACAAAGGTACAAATACCCTCGCAATGCACCACCTAAATGCCGCATCCGCATAAAACGAAACCGTGGAGTTTCAGTCCTCAATGAGAAAAACCATATGAGTGGTCCAATCGACACAGATGCTCCAAAAAATGTCTTCGATCTTCAACCAACGAACATCGATGCGGACGACAGCGACACCTTCATCGTCACTCTGCAAGAGGCGTGCCCACCC